ACGAGATGTGGCAGATCCCAGTGGTCCCTATGCCTAAGGAGAGGCAAGTGGCAGCAAGCATCAGCACCAAGGATGGAGCGGTCGGTAGCGACGATGGCGCGAACGGTCGCGCTAAGGAGAATGAGCTCAAGAAGAGCAAACCTGGAGGGACCAGCAAGTTCAGTGAACCTAAGGAGAGTGGTGCAGCAACCAAGGAGCAGCAAAAGGGTGAGGAGAACCCAGAGGCAGCAGCGGAGGAGGACTACGGAGAGAGTATGTGGGGCGCTATTGCGAGCGCGGCATTCTCCAATCCAACTTCGGCTACGGGGGAGTGTGATTGGCTCACCTTGCATCGGCGCATGGGGCATGTGGCCCTGCCCATCTTGCAGCAGCTAGTGAAGAATGAGATGGTTGCTGGCATACGTATGAAGGGGGAGCCCGATGAGGTGCTTGGCTGCCCGACGTGCATTCAAGCCAAGTTCACCCGGTTTCCGTTCCCTAGTTCGGAGGCAACGGCAAAGGCACCGCTTGATGAGGTGGTGATGGACGTGGTGGGCCCCCTGAAGCTTGGAGCTGCTGGAGCTGAGTATTTTCTCACCATTGTCGACGTCTACACCCGCATGACTTGGGTGTACGTGCTGGCCAAGAAGAGCGACGTGGCTGAAACGTTGAAGACGGATTGGTTCCCGATGGTGGAGCGGCAACAAGACCGTCTAGTCAAGTCAATCCGCACCGATCGAGGGGGAGAGTTCCTGAGCAAGGAGTTTGGGTTGTGGCTGAAGAAGAATGGTATTCGGCACTCCCTCACCATGCCATACTCCCCTGCAATGAACGGCATCGCCGAGCGAGCGAACCGCACAATCACGGAGGCGGCACGCGGGTTGCTCATTGAAGCCGGGCTACCCGACTATTTCTGGCCTGATGCGGTGCGGAGCGCGTGTGTGGCCAAGAACAGAGCCTTGACTCATGTGGGAGCAGACAAATGGGTGCCCTATGTGGAGTGGCTAGGAAGGAAGCCAAAGGTGGATATGCTTCGGGTGTTCGGGTGCATGTGCATGGCGCTCGTGCCTAAGCATCTTCGGCACAACAAGCTTGGTGCCAAGGCGGTGTGGGCCGTGCACTTGGGCATGGCTCAAAACAGCAAGGGATGGCTTCTTTGGGACCCATTCACCAAGAAGTTCTTGGTGAGCAGGGACTGCAAGTTCATGGAGAACTTCATGTACAAGGATTGGAAGGCGGAGAATGAGGCGAAGATAGGCGTGCGGTTTGGGGAGGTGAAGAGTTCCGGTTTGGAGCATGTGGAGCTGCCTTTGGAGCTGAGCAGCGGCAGCACAACCACAAGGCAATCCTCCCTTGTGAATGGGGGAGAGGAGGCCAATGATGCAGAGGAAGAAGAGGAGGAGGTGCAGCAAGTGAGCGAGCGTGCACCGTCACTCCCTTCCCGTACTACGAGTGCTCCACGGATTCGAGCCACACCGCAGCAACGCCAAGGCCCTCAAGTCCCTGCAGCCGAGGAGGAAGGAAGGGGGAAGAGGAGAGTTCAACCCCCTAATAGGCTGACCTATGATGCGCCGGGAAAGCAGGGCAAGACAGCCCTGGCCGGAGCGGCAATGATGGTCGGAGACGACGAGGAGAGTGACTACGAGGAGTGTGCCTTCGCGTTCTTCTCTCCGGTGGAGATGCCGGGAGAACCAGCAACTCTCAAGGAGGCTTTGGAGAGTAGTGATGCTGAGGAGTGGAAGAAGGCCATGGAGAGTGAGCTGAAGAGCATCGAGGAGAATGACACGTTTGAATTGGTGGAGCTACCGGAGGGGCGTACGGCGATAACGTCCAAGTGGCTCTTCAAAATCAAGTCGGATGCCGACGGCAAGATCGAGCGCTACAAGTCTAGGCTTGTAGCCAAGGGGTACCAGCAGAAGGAGAAGGTGGACTTCAAGGAGCTGTTTGCCCCTGTGGTGAAGCCGACGACGCTGCGAACCCTATTCGCGGGAGCCGCCATCAAAGGATGGGTAGTAAAGCAAATGGGCATCGTAACGGCATTCCTTAACGGCATCCTTGAGGAGGAGATTTTTATGGCGCAGCCAGAGGGGTTTGATGATGGTAGTGGCAGAGTGTGGAAGCTGAAGAAGGCCCTCTATGGGCTGAAGCAGGCCCCTAGGCAATGGTACATGAAGCTGCGCGAAGTGTTGGAGGGGATCGGCTTCACTCCCTCAACGGCCGATCACTCCTTGTTCATGCTTGGCGAGGGGGAGCAGAGGAGTTTCATGTTGGTTTATGTGGATGACATCCTCATTTTCTCACCCTCTTCTGACCTTGTGAAGGAGGTGATGCTGAAGCTTCAAGACAAGTTCAAGTGCAAGGCCCTTGGTGACGTGAGCTTCTACCTTGGGCTCCACATCGAACGAGATGTGGAGAAGCGGTGCATGCGGGTGCATCAACGAAAGTACCTGGAGGCATTGGCTGCCAACTTTGGGCAGAGTGAAGGCCATGTGGCTACACCCTTTCCCTCTGGGTTCAAGTGTGTGAAGGGACCAGAGGAGGAGAGCGTTGGTGAAGAGGAGAGGCGCCGATTTCACTCGTTGGTGGGCAGCCTCATGTATGCGGCGGTAAACACCCGACCGGACGTCGCGTTTGCTACCGGGCAGCTGGCTAGGGTTGTGCAATGCCCTAATGAGGAGCAGGTAGCAGCTGGAATGAGGGTGGCCAAGTATCTTGGCCAAACACCGACCGTTGGGCTGCAATACTCGGCGGCGGCACAAAGGCGCCAAAAGGGCGCGGATGGTGTTGAACCCGGGCGTTTGTTCCTCACCGCCTACTCGGATGCTTCATATGCATCAGAACCAGAGGACATGACAAGTGTGGGAGGCTTCATATGCTGTGTTGGTGGAGGCCCAACTGCTTGGGAGAGCAAGAAGCAGGTTGACCAAGCTTTGAGCTCGGTGGAGTCCGAGTACATGGCACTCTTCCGTGCCGTACGGGAGATTGTGTGGCAGCGGCATTTGTTGGCTGAATTGGGGGAGGAGCAGCAAGGACCTACCCCACTGTACTGTGACAGCCAGGGTGCCATTGCTCTTGCTAAGAACCCTGTGTTGCATGGACTCACGAAGCACATGAGGGTGAAGTGGCATTGGACGAGGAGCATGGTAACCGCGGGTGAAGTTGAGTTGCGCTACGTGAAGACCACGGGGCAGCCGGCTGACATGATGACCAAGAGGCTGGTGGAGCAGCAGCATTGGAAGTGTTGCAAGCTGGCTGGGATGGATCTGAACTGAGAGAGCAAGATATCCTAAGGCCAACAATCCGAGGGGGAGTTTGTTGGTGCAACCCTACGGTTTGCACTCGGCTTGTTGTCCGTGTGCGTGAATGTGTGTGTGTATGGAATGGTATGAGGGCATGGGATAATATATATTTCATGCTTATAATTGTGTGTGAATGTTGAGTCATGATGTCGAGTGTGTGTGTCGAGTCAATAGCGAGTTATCGCTAGACGCGTGTTACGCGGTCGTTTGTGTCTCGCGCGCGGTTTCTATTTTGTCGTGCGCGGTTTCTATTTTGTCCTGTGTCGAACGTTCGGCGTGTCGCAGGTGTGTGCAGCAGACCCAGCAAGAACTCAAGGATGAGTTTGTGATGAAGAGCCCGAGCCTTGGTGTCAAGCCTCAAGTGATTTCGAAGCTTGCCAAAAGGGTACACCTCAAGATATTGAAGATAGTTACATTACTTTGTGTAGTGTAACATTTCACTTGGTGTAGGCCCTAGTGAAGGGTAGTTTCGAGACCTTTCGTGGTTGGGGACAGTGTGGCACTGTTCCACATCACTGTACCTCGGCTCTTGGGGTTTGTAGGAGCTGGGAGTCATTCCCAACTCGTAACTCTTCCTATCTTGTGTTCTAAGACTATAGTGGCTGCCATAGTACCGTTCGTTCAAACCGACGCTGTGTCGTCAATTCTTTATCAAATCGTGCAATCTAAATTGCTAATTGTAGACGACGTAAAGACGCTCCAGATCCAATTTGAATCAAGTCATTTGCAGCTGTGAGCAGAACGCTATCAACGTTTGAAGCCGCTGTGCAGAAATCCGTCTGTGCTCTCTATCTTTCGTTTTAGGCACATTCAAGCCTATTGTGACTATAACATCACGATAGTTTCCAGGCAGTAAACCGTACGAAAAAGCTAGTCGAGCAATGTCCCTTGCGCCTACCGCGAGCGATCGGATGAATTGGGAGTGTCGTGAGGGACGGTGGAGACCTATACCATGCAACCCGACGGAAGTCCCCACCTAAAGTCCTAGGTGCTGGGCGTAGTTATCGATAGCTGGCGATATTGTGGGCTACGGAGCCTACTACTGAACGAGTCTAGAAAGGTAGCTTCAAGCTTCAAGTTTCCAAAAGTGTGAACAGTGGTGTCAGTTTTTGTTTGTTCTGGCGAGGGTCGTCAGTGGTTTTGCTGCTGTGCTTTTATCCCATCACATTCCTGCGCTTCAAACACCTTCACAGTGGATCGCGAGAGAGCCCCACAGAAAAGCAGGTTACCGTGTTCACCTGCGAAATCATGTTCAAGAATCTTGAACTTGAACCCTTGCCATTCTAGAATCGGGCTTTAATCCCCCTGGAAAAATGAAGTGGGAATGCCTCTGTTTTGTTGGGAATCCCCCTGTCATACGCTATGAAGGGCTAGATTTTATTTTTGTCTTGGGGTAATGCACATACAGGTGATTCTTAAAGCACTAATTTACTTATGTAGGAATTCAAAATGATTACTAAGGGGGAGAAGGGGTGGTGGTACAAGGAGAATGTCGAGAAATTTGGTGTACCCCCTAAGTTGTAACCCACATATCTAAGGGCATGTTCCTACAACCCCTTATCAGGGACACCTCGTATCAGCTTCGCATTTTTGCCTCATAAAATTCGCAAAGGTTTTGGGGTTAATGGAAATTTCAGTGTGTTGTGACGCGAGACTGATAAGAGGTTGGCCTGATAAGGGGCCGTAGGAACATTCCCTAAGCTAAAAAGCTACAGTGATCTCTCAGTAACCCCAAAAGAACCCCAGGGGCAGCCAACTCTTGACACGATCGGAATCCGAGCTCCGCATTGAGCTCCGCATTGAGCTCCCGCCAGCAGAACAGGTGGTGGCACACGACACCTCTCCAGTGCTTGCACTCTCGTCTCCACCATCCTCCCACTCTTCCTCCTTGTCAGGGCAGTGCTTGTCAATGAGGGCACGGAGGCGGTATGCCACGTCCTTAATGTCGGGTCGGCGTGTGCCGGGCGCCTTCGTGCAGTCCAGCGCCAGGTCTGCAAAGTCCACCACGGCCTCGTCACTGGCCTGCAGCTTGCTGTCCTTGAGCTCGTCCAGCTCATATGCATCCACCCTCTTCTGCGCCTGCACCACAGGGATCAGCCGGCGCACGGCAGCATAGTAGATGTGAAAGACGCGTGGTAGTGCAGCAAAAAGAAAAAGAGCAAGGCAGCATGGTACAGAGAAAAAAGCTGCAAGGTAGCATGCTAGGGAGAAAGGCGGTAGCAAGGGGCAGTGTCATGATTGAATCTAGCATGGGCATACCCAGGTCTTGATAGAGTATCCATGGTAAGAAGGTGGCTTTCCACTCAGCAACTCCAGAAGCACAATGCCGAAGCTGCAAGCCGGCGCACAAGGGGACATGGAAACAGCTGGAGAGAATGATGACCAGCAACAGCCTGATTGTGCACTAGCAACTTTTGATCCGTCCTTCATGCAAGCACTATAATCCGGACGTGTCAAATGGTTCAGCGTTTCAGCATCTTGTGAGTTGGCAGAGCGCCATACACACTTACCTGAAGACATCGCTCTTGGCTGTGATGACGCCGGTGCGGTTGTAGTCCGGATCAACATAGCCGGGCGTGCCCTCCACTCTGGTGGCATCAGCATCGCCGTGAGTGAGTAGCTTGAGCAGCCCGAAATCGGCCACCTTGGCATGAATTTCAGGTGTCACGAGGATGTTGGCGGGCTTGATGTCGCGGTGGATGATGGGCGTCGCAAACCCATGCAGGTACACCAGGCCCTCCGCTGCTCCTTGCGCCAGGCGCAGCCTCTGGCGCAGCGAGAGAGGGTCTGAAAGAGAGAGGGCACGAGAGGCAGGCACGGAGTGTGTTTGTGCGTTAGCGACTTTTCACATTCTCTGCTAAGGCACAGAGGGCTGGCAGCTTGGTGCCTAAGTGCAACTTGGGCGACTTGGGCAACTGACGCTTGGTTTTGTAGATGTGGTGGTGGAGGTCTCGGTTGGCCACGAAGGTGGTTGTTGAGGCGCCTCAAAAACCAACTTAAAGACTTGGAGCGAGAGCTACTGACGCTTGGTCTTGTAGATGTGGTGGTGCAGGTCTCTTACTCTTGCTCTTGTAGATGTGGTGGTGCAGGTCTCTTACTCTTGCTCTTGTAGATGTGGTGGTGCAGGTCTCGGTTGGCCACGAACTCGTACATGAGGATCTGCTCCTGCTTGCCCGTCTCCACGTTCTGGTCCTGGCAGAAGCCCAGCAGGCGCACCAGATTCACGTGGTGCAGCGATGCCATGGCTCGCACCTGCACACACCGCACAGCACCGCAATATGCGACTTGCAGGGTTCAACAGAGCTTCCACTACAGCAGAGGCAGCTCAGTATTCCAAAGAGCACAGTGAAGTGAACACCATTGTCATGGTGCTGTGGCTGAATGGCAAGAGTTGAGCCTTGGTGTAGTGGCAGCAGGGCAAAGGCTGACTGACCTCCGTCTCGAATTCGTTGGTCATGACAGTGGAGCGCTTCACTGCCCACAGCTGCCCCTGCGGCGAGATCCCCTTGTACACGGCGCCGAAGCCGCCCTTCCCCAGCAAGTTCTCAGGCGCCCAGTTGTCCGTGGCCTTCACCAGCTGCTGCAGTGAGAACTGCTCGCACAGGTCCAGCCCCTCCCACTTCCCTGTGCCCCAACAGAGCAGTGTGAGGTGGGGTGCATGGTGGCAGGCCATGCAGCAATATATACTCAGTGAGGGTTTGAGCGCGTGGACAGAGTAGGGGTGCAGTGGGGCGGTTGGGAGGGTGAGTTGTAGTGCAGGAAGGGGTAGGGCAGGAGTGCAGGGCTAACGGGAAAGAGGTGTAAGAACGGACGACATGAGAGCAGTGTTGGCGGTCTTACTCTGTCGACGGAGCCACAGTAGCCAGGCGAGCACAGCAGTGAGCAGAGAGAACCCGAAAAAGCACCCCAGAGATATGCCCACGATGGCATCTGTTGACAGCGACGACACTGCCAGGTGGGGAGCAGGGAGGGTGGGGGAAAAGAGGCGCGGAGTGGAGGAGATGGAGTTGGAGAGCGCTATGGACAGGAATGGCAGCAGGGGAAGATGTGAGTGCTTTTGAGAATTCTCAAAAGCGATTTTAACGCAGAAGGGGGGAGATTTGAGTGCTTGAGAGAATTCTCAAAAGCGATTTCAACGCAGCAGGGGGAGATGTGAGCACAGCAGCACGGGCTTCAATATCCAGATGGGGGCCTCACCAGCAGTGATGGCACAGGTGGACCCGTTGCCCAGGTCCACGGAGGAGTACCCGGCGTCGCACATGCACGTGAAGTTGGTGACTGGTGTCTGGTACCCAGAGTTGGCAGGGGCGTCTGGTGCAGGCGGCACGCACGCCCCATGGCCGTCACACGGGCCGTTGTCAGTGATGCTGCAGAACGCCTGGCAGGCTGCCGCGCTGCGCTGGGTGGCGTTGGATGGGCACTTGACGCCCCGTTTGAGCGTCAGACAGTTGCCTGCGAGGCTCCCCCTCGCGCCCTTGCCTGCCCCCGCCACCGAGTAGTCTCGCTGGCCAGCGAAGGCAGCATCGCTGCACTTCCCCACCACGCGCACGCTGCTGTCGCCCAGCAGCAGCTGGTTGCGGTGGGTGATCTCCTCGGGGCACACCTGGCAGCCCGCGGCAAAGAGCACGGCGTCGCTGTAGAAGAAGTTGTGAGCGAGGTTGATGAGCGCGCCGCCGTCCGCCACCATGCTGTTGAAGTCGTGGCTGATTCGCCCGTACAGGCTGTTGTTGCTCACATCGCTGGAGGGAGCAGCAGGGGGGGGGGGGGGGGGGGGGGAGTGACAGGGGTTGGTGCTGTGCTTGGTTCTTTGATCCGTGAGCCGAGTTGACGAGTGCCTCGTTGTCAGCCACTATGCTGTTGAAGTTGCAGTTCACACGCCTGTACAGGCTGTTGCTGAGCCATCTCTGCAGGGGAGGAGGGTGGGGCGGGGGGTTGGTGGTACACAGGGCAGACGTGAGGGTTAGAAAGAACGGCTCGCTAGAGCGAGCTGAGAGGCCCACCTGACGGTGAGCAGCGCGTTCATTCAGCGCATGCCTCTAACTGCTGCTTTTGCACCTGGTCGCACTGACAGCAGTGAGCAGCTTGTCTCGCAGCACCCTTTGGTAGCGGGGACGGGACGGATGAAGTAAGCAGGTGGGCTCACATCTGGTTGATGCACTTGTCGAAAAGGCAGTCTGGCAGAGGTCCGTAGAGATGGTTGTTGCTCACCATGCTGCCAGCACAACCCATGCCATGCCATGCCATGCCATGCCATGCATGAACCACCATGAGTCGCGCCATACAGAGCCGCATAGAACAAAGAGAGACAAGGCAAGAAGATAAGGTAAGCTAATATAAGCAGGATAAGTCGATACACGATAAGCCGTGGCGCAGACTTACACTCCCATGCGCCACAGCCACTCACATGCGCCACAGCCACTCACATGCGCCACAGCCACTCACATGCGCCACAGCCACTCACATGCGCCACAGCCACTCACATGCGCCACAGCCACTCACATGCGCCACAGCCACTCACATGCGCCACAGCCACTCACATGCGCCACAGCCACTCACATGCGCCACAGCCAGGGCAGCGAGCAGATGGCAGACGGCAGAGGGCCCTCGATGCTGTTGTTGTCCAGCCAGCTGGGGCGGGCAGGCGGGGGCAGAAGCAGGGGCAGAAGCAGGGGCAGAAGCAGAGGCAGAACAGGGGCAGAAGCAGGGGCAGAAGAAGGGGCAGAAGCAGGGGCAAAAGCAGGGGAAGAAGCAGGGGCAAAAGCAGGGGCAGAAACAGGGGCAGAAGAAGGGGCAGAAGCAGGGGCAAACGCAGGGGCAGAAACAGGGGCAGAAGAAGGGGCAGAAGCAGGGGCAGAAACAGCGGAAGAAGGAGGGGCAAAAGTAGGGGCAGATGCAGGGGTAGAAACAGGGGCAGACGAAGAGGCAGAAGTAGGGGCATGAGAGCAGCAGAGTGCTGTGCGGCATGGCAGAAGGCACAAAACATGGGTGGGTTTGGCAGGGCGGACAGCTTGGCATGCATGTAGGCATGAGGAGAAGAATCAACATCCTTTGGTGCCCCAGAAGACAAGTATATTGCTCAACACGACATGGAAGGGGTTTCGGGTTTCGGAGAGGTCGAGGGAGAGGAGCAGGGAGAAGTGAAGTGAGCAACAACGGGGGAGTGGTGGGGCCACCAGGGTTGCGTGCAAGATTAAATAACCGCTAACCCTAAACTCTTCCAGGGAGAAAGGAGAATGGAGGAAAACATGGAGAAATGCTGAAAATGCTGAACTGGTTCTCCCAAAACGAGGAAAACTAGGTTGCCAAGAAGAAATGCTGAAAATGACGACCTGGTTCTCCCAAAACGCATGAGATCTAGGTCTCAAAGGTTAAACCGAAGGTTGTGGGGGAAATTTTGGTTGGGACGGCATTTGGGGGTCGAAATGTGTCTGCCTGGGCCTCGATTCCGTAAAATTTGAGGGTCGCGGTGAAGTCCTGATGTCAATGTCGCAGTTCGTTGTTTTTTTTTTTTTTTTTCGGCAGCCCGAAAATGTTTCCAGAAAGCGTCCTGCGTCTCGTACTGCGTCCAGTGTCCGGATGCAAGCATCGGGATGCTGGACGCTACAACACCAGAGAGTCTTTCTCAACATAGGTTGAGAGGGTAGGAAGGGAGGGCAGGCAGGGAGGGCAGGCAGGGAGGGCAGGCAGGGAGGGCAGGCAGGGAGGGCAGGCAGGAAGAACAGGCAGGGAGGGTCCTCACATCTGTTGGAGCTTCTCCAGGCGACTGATGGCAGACGGCAGACTGCCGCTCAGACGGTTGTTGGCCAGGTAGCTGCAGAGCATGGATGGGAGCATGGAGGAGAGCATGGAGGGGAGCATGGAGGGGAGCGACTGCTGTGAGCAAAAGCAGCATATGGGAGAGCAGCACAGGTTGCAAAGGTTTGTCCCAAAACAAAACATACATCAATACGTGGGCACTAGAGACTCACAGCGATTGTAGGTTTGTCATATTGAAGATGGCAGTTGGAATGGTCCCCGTCAGTTGGTTGTTGTCCAGGATGCTGGAGCGGCATGGCAAGGACAGAGCGCACGAGGCATGGCAAGCACAGTGCGCATGAGGCATGGCAAGCACATAGTGTTTGAATATAGTATGGGATGTTAAAGCCCTGCTATAGCCTATTGTTACACCCAATTGGGTGTACACCTTGTTTCAGTCGCCCCAACCAATCTGGTTTGGTGCCCCAACCCGACCTCTGACGCCGCAACTAACGGGGGCCAACTCATCATCCAATTATTGGTTCCCCAATAATCGGAGGCACGAACCAACCATTACCAGGTTACTACCAACTGTGTTGACCAACCAGTAATGCTGGAAGCGCACCTCCTGGTTACCGCTGTTTTCTTTCTCCTATGTAAACCAAGAAACTTTAAGAATGCAATCACCAACTTGAGCTTCTCAGAAGAGCACATGAGGTATGGCAAGCACAGAGCACATGAGGCACCGGCTGCTGCAAGGTGCTAGCCTGGCCCTGCTAGCTTTCTTCCTGAACTACTTTGGGTAGGAAGACGACACTCCAGATGCAGGCGGGAATACAGTGAGGGGCACGTGGAGAGGGGCATATGGAGAGGGGCATGTGGTGCAGGGAATGTGGTGCGGGTGCAACAGCAGTTGAGGCTTACATGGCCTGCAGAGTGGAGAGCGTGGAGATGGAGTCAGGAATGGGCCCTGTGAAGTTGTTGTGACTCAGTGACCTGCATGAGCAACAGCTCTCAACATGGGGCATGGCACCCACAAACCCAGGAGACGTGTTAGGCAAGGAAAGACACAAGTTAGTAAGTACAAAGATCGCATGGCACCGGGGAGAAACGCAGATTTGTTAAGAAAAACAGAGAGGGGATTGAGGCAGGAAGAGTGGGGGGAGGAAGGCGAGGCGGGTTGGAGGGGGAGGGAGGGAGAGGAAGAAGCTTACAGTGTTTCAAAGCTGCCCTTCCAGAGCGAGAAGTCTAGCAAGGAGCCTGCGAAGCCGTTTCCTGCGAGGCTACTGCACACGGTGCAACGGAAGGTAGGCAAACTCCACTCCAGGGATGATGAGCACGGAGAGTGGTGGCGACGGCGATGGCAGCACAGCGAGTGGGGGCGGCACAGCGAGTGGTGGCAGCACAGTGAATGGTGGCTCTGCTTACAGCGTGGCAAGTGTGGAGGAGGCTTTAAGCGTCACTGGAAGGTTCCCAGAGAGAGAGTTGTTTGCCACTTGGCAAACATGCATTATGAGCCACTGCTTTTGAGTCGACTCAAAAGTCAACTGGCATGCATGCATTATGAGACACTGCTGGACTGGAAGCTGAGAAAAAGAATGCAAAGGTGAAGAATGAAGAGATGCAAGGAGGTCTCATAGGAAACGAGTAGCAGTGACACAAGTTGGACCTCTGCTGCAGGATATTCAACTGGTGTCAGGATTAGGTTTGTGTATTTGCCAGCAGGAGAACGCATTCGAACAAATCAACTGGTTAGAATTTCAACTGATATGTTGAGTTGATTCAAGAACCTCACAATATCCTGTTTTCTGATGCAATCTGTCTAGTAGCAGGTGCAAGCATTGGCTCCATGAAGCTACTCACAGTGAGTAAAGCATGGGGAGGCGGAAGAGGCCAGATGGGATTGATCCATAAAAGTTGTTGTCATTGAGATTGCTGGCCGAGTCACTCAGAAGCGAAGACAGAGTGAAACAGTTGAGCCCATGGGAGACATTCAAGAACTGCACCAATTTATTGAGTATACACAGGATGAAAAGCACACACCAAGGAGTGAACAAACAGGAGATTATATATATATAGGCTGGGCGTGAATGAGGAACAGGCTTGGGTATGGGGGTCGGCTGACGAAAGAGCATGGGAACCCTTTTGTCAAGACTCAAGCTGCATACGCTTTATGACGTAAGAGCAGGTGTACGGAGAAAGTGATATCCTTGGGGCACCACGCACATGTCTATCAGCTTCAGTAGCTCGGTCAATTGCAGGGGGATGGGTCCAGAGAAGCTGTTGTTGCTCACATCCCTGCCATTGCCATCACCATTGCCATTTCCATTGCCATCACCCTGTGAGAGGCTGCGACATCCGCCTCCAGTACTGGCCAAGGTTAGAAAATACGGTTTTCGTAAGATACGGTTGTTTTTTTGTTAGAAAACTCTTGCCACCAAGAAAAAAAGAGCAAAAACAAGGTCGCATATATTTTCAACCATGCCCACAATGCACACATGCAAGGAGGGGTTCGTCCTCTTCATCCTGGTGATTTTTCTTTTGAGTCGACTCAAATGCAAGGAGGGGTTCGTCCTCTTCATCCTGGTGATTTTTGCCATCATTTGGTCCCATCACGGAAATCACTTTCTGGAACCGTTTCTTACCATATTTTATGGCCGTTTTTTACAGTACCGTCTAAAAATGATTTTACATGTTAATTCCACTGCAACCAACCTTTGTCCACATCAGTAAGTGCGTGTCTCACTCACAGTACAGCAAGGTGGTGGGTTTGCAGAAGAGGCTGCGGAAATTCTCCCGTGAAGTGGTTGTTAGCGATGGTTCTAACGCACGCCCAAGGCACATGTGGTGGGAAGAGGACGGGATGGATGCAAAGATGTGCACACACATGCACATGCACGCACGCACGCACGCACGGACACACACACGCACGCTCGTGCGCGCTAGCATGCGCGAGACACGTTCCTATGCGCGAGACACGTTCCTGGGCCCTAATGCACCGTCCAGGAACAACTTAGGACGCACATGCGTGCAACCTTGATAATACATGTGCACGTTTCCCAGATGCATGCCCCACAAACACATGACGCCACCACAAGCGTGAAGCTGTTGTTGCTGCATGGAGAAGGTGAGTGAGGGAGTGAGTGAGTGAGTGAGTGAGTGAGTGAGGGATGGATGGATGGAGAAAACTGACATGGAGTTGAGCCCTGTGATAGCAGAGAGGGTTGCTGGAAGCACCCCGGAGAAGTTGGTGTGGAGGCTTCTGCGGGGCACACATTTGAGAGATGGGCGCAGGTGTTGCCACTTGCAGGGAGCAGATGATGCGAGGGAGGGAAGGGGAGACCGAGCAAGGACGGAAGGGAGACCGTGCAAGGAGGAAAGGGGAAGTGAGCAAGGAGTGAAGGGGAGATCGAGCAAGGAGAGAAGGGGAGACCGAGCAAGGAGGGAAGGGGAGACCGAGCAAGGAGGGAAGGGGAGACCGAGCAAGGAGGGAAGGGGAGACCGAGCAAGGAGGGCAGGGAGATAGAGCAAGGAGGGAAGGGAAGAACCAGCAAGGAGGAAAGGGGAGACCCATCAAGGAGGGAAGGGGAGACCGAGCAAGGAGGAAAGAGCAAGGAGGAAAGGGGAAGAGAAATGTAGCAAGCAAAGGGCAGAGAGCAAGCCAACAGGTTTGGTGCAGATAATGAGTGCAAGGAAGCAGGGCAGAGAGGGGGGGGGGGGTTACAGGGTAGAGAGTTGGGGCAGTGCCAGGTGAGGCGGGATGGTGCCACTAAAGGCGTTGTAGCCAAGTGCTCTGGATAGGAAGGGGAAGTGACTCCTTCAAATGATCAGTATCATGTTTCAAGGCACAAAGATTCCGACTCCGACTACCGTTCTCTGCTCTGAGCAAGTGTTACCCAACCACCTTTTTCACTGTGGCACCGGCTCTGCACAAACCAGCAAGCACCGTGCACTGCGCGACGAAAGCATACACACGGCGCACGATGCCGGTTTCATAGTTCACAAGGAAATGGCGGCCTCGCATCGGGACCCGCATTGAACAGGCCTTTCATAGTTTCTGCCAGCGCTGGACTGTGGCGCAGACAGTGGAACTTTTATTAACTTTATTAAATAATAGACTTTGTGGCGCAGCGCAGGTTGAGAATCAATCAACCCGTCGGTGGACAAACTGACGCATTGAGCTCAGGGGATTGTTTCTTGGAGCTAGAGCGGTTGGCAAACTGCCGTAGGACGGGCATACATCACACAGCTGGTTTGTTACGTTGTAGTTGTTGTTACAATGTCATGCTAATTTGAGAGATGTACCCTCCATTTTCACTAATAAGGACTGTTTGAGAGAGAGAAGGGGGAGCGAGCATGAAGGTTTACAGAGGACGAAGAGGATACAGGAAATTGTGGGAGTGGTGTGGAAGGTGGACCTCGAAGGACATACATGCTTTGGATGTTGGTGGTGAAGACAGGGGGGATGGAACCAGACAGAGAGTTGAATGAGAGATCTCTGCAAAGGGAGGGAGGGGGTAGAAAGAGCAGCACTGCAGTCCATGACCAAGGGGGCGAGACAGGGGTGAGCAACGAGATGGTGAGAGTGAGAGTGGGGGTCGGGGGGAGCAAAGTGGTGTGCATGCTGGGATGGGAACGTAGATTGGTGAAGCTACGTGCATGCTGGGAACGTACATTGCAGTGAGGGCTGTTAGGGCAGAGAGGCTTGCTGGGATGGTGCCTTGAAGATGGTTGTAATTTAAAGCCCTGCAACAAGATGAAGGAGGAGCTCCAATTTACACATGCAGGTAAATGGTGGGATTGACGAGATAGGCAGTCACTGGGTGACAGCTAAACGGATTGGTAAGGAAGGAGCACCACAGAAGGATGACATGACAGCATGAGATGGGGGCATGGCAGGATGACAGCATGAGATGGGGGCATGGCAGGATGACAGCATGAGATGGGGGCATGGCAGGATGACAGGCATGGGGGCACGGCCGCATGGCACTGCAGGCAGTGGTAGGCACGAGCAAATGTGAGAACCCCTGTTCGGTTCGACTCGGACAGTAGTTTGTCTTTTGGGCAAACAATGTTCGACCGAACAGTTGTATTTGGGTCGAATATGATCAAGTTTTTGACATGTCCAACTCGAGATTGAAGCGCAAAAGCACTGGAGGGAGAGGCTCGAGGAGGAGAAAATTGAGGAGGCTGTGGAGGGAGGTTGGGAGGATGTGGGGGATGGGATGGGGCTGCGGATGGGGAGAGGAGGGGCTGTGGAGGGGGGAAGGGGAGGACAGCTCAAACCGAACACGTTTGTGTTCAGGTTGAACACTTAACACTTTGACCCCATGGGTGAACATTCGAACACCACTTGCTGGAAAGAAGGTTCTTTGACTTGAACCGAACATGTTTGGTTCGAGCTGGAGGGTTATTCAAAAGTGTTCGACAGGAACATGTCCGCGTTCGGCCATTGCTCATGTCTGTCTAGGCAGTGGCTCACAGGTACTGCAGGCTGAGGAGCGAGGAGAAGCTCTTAGGCAGGTAGCCGCAGGGTTCAAAAAAACGACCGTTTTATTGAAATTTCACCGTAAAAAATGGTACCGTAAAAAACGGTCGTAAAAAACGGTTTAAAACGGTTCCAGGATGTGTTTCCTCTATAACTAACAAAACGGCCACTTATTGGGACCAAATTGAACCCGAAATGCAGCAGCATGAAGGGGATGGACCCCTTCTTGCATGTATGCGCTTGTTGGCATGATCAAAAATGTTTTTGACCTTGTTTTTCTCTTTTTTTTTCTTGGTGAACAGAGATCTCTAACAAAAAAACGGCCGTTTTTTTTAAGAAATCACCGTAAAAAACGACCGTAAAAAACGGACCGTATTTTACGAAAACCGTAATTTTGAACCTTGGGTAGCCGTCCAGGTTGTTGCCTTTGAGGGATCTGCCGTGCAGTGCGTGCCACCAGGCACAAGGTACACACGGCACGAGGATAACACAGAGGGAGGGACTTGTGCAGGAGGGGCAGAAACGTGCTGTCCGGCGCAGCGCAGCACACCCACCTGCCCGCCTGGTGGCCTCTCTGACAGCCAGGCAACAGCTGCAGCAGTGCTGAAATAGGCCTAGCCTTTCCCACACTCATGCACGAACTGCTTGCCCCCTTGGTTTCATGTATTGTGACTGAAGGTTTCTAATTCTGCGCACTGCAGTTCACTCACAGGGAGGTGAGCGCTGTGAGGTGCGAGATGTCATCTGTCAACAACCCCTGCCGCCGCGGCTCGTCCGCGTTCACGTTGCAGCATGCAGGGGCGGGGGGAAAAGGGCAGGGGGACAAGGGCAGGGGGACAAGGGCAGGGGGACAAGGGCAGGGGGACAAGGGCAGGGGGGCAATGACAGGGGGGCACGAGTAGGGGGACAAGGGCAGCAGGAGAAAGGCAGGGCGACAACAAGGGCAAGATGACAGGGGCAGAGGGACAAGGGCAAGGGGACAAGGGCAGAGGGACAAGGGCAAGGGGACAAGGGCAGAGGGACAAGGGCAAGGGGACAAGGGCAGAGGGACAAGGGCAAGGGGACAAGGGCAGAGGGACAAGGGCAAGGGGAAAAGGGCAGAGGGACAAGGGCAAGGGGACAAGGGCAGAGGGACAAGGGCAAGGGGACAAGGGCAGAGGGACAAGGGCAAGGGGACAAGGGCAGAGGGACAAGGGCAAGGGGACAAGGGCAGAGGGACAAGGGCAAGGGGACAAGGGCAGAGGGACAAGGGCAAGGGGACAAGGGCAGAGGGACAAGGGTAAGGGGACAAGGGCAGAGGGACAAGGACAGAGGGACAAGGACAGAGGGAAAAGGACAGAGGGAGAAGGACAGAGGGACAAGGGCACACCCGCAAGACTTTCCAGACCCAGACAAGGCAAGGCCACGGCCGTGACATGCATTGTTAGGGTGCATGCATCATAAATGCGGCTGCAAGGGCGGTAGTAGGTAGGTGTGTGGGCAATGGCAATGGCTCACAGATATTGAAGAATGGAGAGGTGAGTGACCCAGGCAGGGAACTCCACGGCCCGAAGATACGACAAATCACTGCAGGGGAGAATGCAAGGAGACGGCACATGGGTAAGGGCATAGCAGAGGGCTGGTCTCGTGCCAGACGAGCAGTCAGTAAAAACCTGCTCGTGCATGTGACCAAGCGTGTTACTTACACCCGTATGCAGCTGACTCATAGTGCAGTGAGGGCTGTGAGGTATCGGATCTCCCTGGGTATCTCCCCCGTGGCATTGGTGAGCGAACTGAGTGTCCTGCGCACAAGCCCACCCACAGAGAAGAGCCAAGCCAACGCTACCAAGGCACAATGAAAGCCGGCGACAAAGTCAGTTCACACACTGAACGAGAGATGATGTAGTACACGAGTTGGGTTGAAGCATCAAGGCAGCACCAGCTCCCGGCACACTGGAATCGAGCTCACAGGCTTTGAATATTCTCCAGGTGAGAGAGAACGTGCAGAGAGGACAAGCTCCCCGTGAATTCCGCCAAGCCAAAAAGATTCCTGGTGGGTGGTGGTGTGTGGTGGTGTGGTGGGAGGGTTGTGGCACGTGCGAGAAGCCATGGGTTGAGCAGAGGGTGGGACACGACACAACACGCGGCTTGTTGTGCATGCGCAAGTTGCTGGAGTGATGTGGCATGGCGCACAGCAATGAGAGGGCAGCATGGCTTAGAGACGAAATGGAGTGCCAACTGCATGCCGAGTGGCACAGTTATCAGGGCGTGTGAACTGAGAACAGGACGTGGCAGTGTGAAGGGCATACAGCGTTTGCAGGTTGGAGAGGGAGGAGAGCCAGGCCAGTCCCTCGTAGGTGCCAGTGAGCTGGCTGCCGTCTGTTCCTATGGCTCTGAGGACATGCCGCACATGCAGTCAGCCATGCCACACATGCAGAGTGGTGGAACGAAACATCAAGTCCTTGAGAAAGGAGAAAGTAAGGGCGTATCCATGTTCGGGTCATGGGCACTGTTCCGGGCATCCGCAATTTGCGGATGATCCAAACAACATAAAACGCCACTTTGGGTCCTCCGAACTCATGCGACCCCCAAAGAGCCGCGAAGGTTTTCGCGCCAAAATCACGCAGTCGTGAACAGTCGCATCCAATGGAGGGATGCCAGAACAATTCGAAACATCCGCAAGACCCACGCGAAACCACGCGAAACCCACCGGAAAAACACAATCGTCAAAATTCCCGGCGTGAATCCCCAAATGTTGGGAGCGTGACGCGGGAAATTTTTGACCCACTCATGGTCACTAGGGTCAATTTGCCGAGTGGTTGGGTGCAGAGGTGTAAGACGTGGGACATTGCCCACTTGTGACACTCGACTGACGACCGCCAAATTCTGGCAGTAAATCCAGAATCGTGCAACCAGGTGATTGGTTGGGGGTGGGTCGTGCACGTCAGTCGCCCAACACCTGCACATTGACCCAAAGCTGGGGCCGCGCGCGGCTCAGCAGCCCACTTCGGGTCATGCGCAAATTCCGCATGACCCAAACAGTAGCCAGAACAGTGCTCATGACCCGAACATGGATACGCCTTAAGAGAGGTAACAATCTTTGGCTGCAGAGGAGAGAAGGAGCGCACTGGAACAAGGACAGGGGGGCAGGGGCAGGGGGACAAGGGCAGGGGGACAAGGTCAGGGGGGGACAGGGAAGGGGATAGGGGCGTGGGGACAAGGGCGGGGGGACAAGGACGGGGGGGAAAGGGCGGGGGACAAGTGAGGCGGGGCAAGGGCCGGGGACAAGGGAAGGGGGAGAAGAGCAAGCAGGGGGAGAAGAGCAAGCAGGGGGACAAGGGCACGCCCACGAGACTTTCCGCATTCAGACAAGGCGACAACAGGGACCCCGGCATGCACGGCTCCGGTGCGTCGTGTGTGCGGAGGCGGGGCACGTACAGGAGAGTGAGGCTGGAGAGGCTTGCGAGGGATGGGACGGGCCCCAGCAGCTGCTCGTTTGTGAGGTCCCTGTGGACGTGGGGAGGCAGGAAGCAAGAGTGACGGCAGGAGGGATGCGGAATGAGGCATGCAGAGAGACGCCTCGGTGCATATCACATCACATCCAACTGCTGCACCAACTGCTGCAGAGTTGAGGCGTGCAAACGCAGCAAGTGGGGGCAGTCGGGTGTGGCTTATCAAACGAGTGGGGAGCGAGATGCGGGGGGGGGGGGGGGGTTCTCTGCATAGACATGGCATGGCCGCTTTGAAACTTCCTGGTGAGGCGGCCACGGGGCATGGACGAACAAGCACGGCCACCGAGGGCAAGGACAGGAGGGACTGTGATGGATGGTGAAAGAGTGATGGCATGGTGCATGCAATGCAGCAATGCAGAGAGGATGGAGTGGCAGGGAGGGTGGGTGGGGACGGACGGACAGGTACTGCAGAGCGGCGAGGTTGGTGATGGAGGCAGGTATGGCGGCGCTGCCATCCACCGCCACGGCCTTTGAATCCCTGCCACCCACCACACGCACACAACGCAACCACGCCATGCTCCCATCCCATCCCTCCCCACCCCTTCACACCATCCCGTTACCCATACCCTCCCACCGCCCTACCTCCACCACTTATCCCTACGCCCCCTCTTCCATGCCCCTAACCCCATCCCACTCAACCACCGCCTCTTCCCAATTCTCGCCCCCATTACCCACCACCGCTCACACAAGTCCAGCCCATTCAGATAAAGAACAGGCGATACACAGCACTATATGCATGCATGGGCTGCTATATTGGTGTGACTTTTGAGAATTCTCAAAAGAACAGGCCATACACAGCATTAACATCACAAAAATCAAGCAGCGAAATTCCTCCCGAAATGAGTTTGTTCAAACCTTTTCCAAATGATTTAAAAACGTAGGGTTGGGAACTTTTTAAGAAGAAAGTATCGAAGTTTTTCTAGATGTTGTGTCAGATGCTTTCCAGATGATTTCACACGTTTCGAGAGACTTCGGAAGAAGGCAACCCGAAGTCAGCCTTGACTATGCAAGAAGTTCCGCAAAACCCTTTAATGTAAAAAGGTGGATGCCATAACAACTCTTTATTGTATTGGAAATGAGCTAGAATATCATTTCAAAATATGCAATGCTATAATCTGTAGGTGGTCAATTTCAACCATTGTAAACATCGAAAATCAATAATTTGATTTAATTATGACATTACATCAAGACAAATGGTTACGCAAAGCTACCAGAGACCTAGTCGCCTACACATGTTCCATCACGTCAATAATTTAGGCATGATCTTGGCAAAAAAACGCGGTTGAACCTGAACAAACAGCACCGCCTGCAGCTAGCAACGATTTCAGCAGGTGAGGTAAACCAAATAAAAGCAGTTTTTAAGAAACCAGCGGCGATTAAATCGTGTGCTTACCACGATTGCAATCTCTGAAGAGTTGTGAATTAATAAAAGGAAATCATCGACATAACGAACAAACGAGATTGTTAGATTAAATATCAAAACGGATTAACGCATGAGTAGATGGTGACGCGATCAATAAGATAACCCCGCGACCTGTGAAAAGTGAAGGGAAAACTGACGCGGGGACCTGCGTATGCGCATCCAGAAGTCAGTACGAGGTGAGAAATGTCCTGACTATTCGTAAGTGGATGGACTTCATGAAAAAAGTGACACGCAATAAATGCGGTTCGCTGGTGATAGGGCAGCAAATCGCTAGAAGCTATGGCGGAAGTGACCAAGAGACTAAGCGAAGGAAGTACGAGGAACCAAACTAACGAAGTCAGAGCCACCAAGGAATAATAAAAATTACGGGAAGTGTCTTCCACCTTTGAGCTGGTGTGAAGGGAGAGTGCTAAAGTTGTGCAGGGGATGGTTGGGTTGGGACACTACCATAGCTGAGCTGGATGTTGTCTAGGTGGGTTAGATGGGCGATCTGGATTGGTTGGGCTTCTGAGCTGGATGGAGCAAGGCAACATGGATTGGTTGGAATTATTTCTGGGTTGGTTGAGGCATGGATTGGGTAGGGTAGGGAGTGATCGAGGGCAGCTGGATGAACGGGGGGTGGAGCGCAATCAGTGGGGGGTGGGGAGCGCGATTGGTGGGGGTTGGAGCGAGATTTGCTGGATATCGAGGGTGTTTGGTGGGGGTGCTGCTGGCGAAGGTTTGACTCTAATAATTGTTTCGATACTTACAGCTGTTACAAAATTACAGTTACAGATACATTCTTAATTTCAGATCGATTCACTTAAAAACGAGAATCATAATAAAACATTGAGGTTTCGTAACTCAATAAGGAACTAACTAACGTATTTCAAGAATGAAAATCGAATATTCAAACATAAACATAACTGTCAGCTTTTTAAGAAAAAACCGACTGGCGACGCCTTTCATAGTCGCACTCTACTTGTCGTGGTAAATGTATAGCGAGATAGGGAATAAAACAGAGTAAGAGATGCCATCACCAATATATTGTAAAAACCCTTTCTAAACGTCTGTAAAACATCTGGGCCGCCAAAACGATTACAAGAAGATTCTAAGAAGATCTTCAAACGATTTTCAATCACAAGTGCCCAAATCAAATGGTCAGATGATTTAAAGATGTACACATTTTTGTGATGAAGTGCATGCATGGGCTGCAAAGGATTGTAGACTTTAGGAGAGCCGAGGCGCGTGAAACGCATGATAGGAGGAGTGAGGCGCGCGGGTTGGAGAAACGGGTCGTTTTGGCACGTACCACTGTACTGCGAATGAACGCTTCTGGCTGTTTCGCATCTTAGCCTCCTGCGTGAACACTTTCTGCTGCGCAAACACTCCCTTGCACATTCATTGCTGCTTCCCCGCGCGTACAAATTTCCTGCGCGTGCACGTTCCCCGCGCGTGCACATTCCCCCCGCGCGCACATTCCCCGCGCGTGCACGATTTCTCCACGTTTTCTATGCGAAAGCTCACTCACAAACGTTTGCGGACAGCTCAGTTCGCGCCCAGGCGCGGGCAGGAGTTCGCGTCAACATGGTTCCCCGCGATAACGGGCCGTTAAGCGGCGAACAGTGAGGGTACTCATGTGGGGCAATGGTGGGAGCAGTGGGGGGCCGCAGTGGAGGGCAATGACACTCACAATGCGATGACCAGTCCGTTAGGGTTGCACGTCACGCCAGGCCACGCAGAACACGCAGTGGTGCCGTTGCTGTTGCCCGCCCACGCGCCCCACGCCGCAAACACCTTTACAATCTCGCTCACTGCGCACGCGCAGCAAGCCGCGCCCGAAACAAGGGAGGGGAAGGGGTTGAGTCATCGTCAGCGGGGCGGAGCCAGCACTGAGATCCCAATGCTGCGATGAATAGTTTATAGAGATGCATCATGGCGGAGGGCGGAGCTCGCTAAGAGCGTCGAGCGCGAGGGCAGCGAGCTCACGTTGCGTCGCCTCCAAAGCCACGGGCCTTGCGGCAGCGCCGCCGCCGGTCGGCTCGGAGTCGGCCGCGGCACCGGCGGGGGTGGCGGCGTCGAGCTTGAGGAGCGAGCGCTGGGCGCGGGATGATGGGCGGAGCAAGGGGAGACAGCACGCGGCGCTGATTCGGCCGACGGGGGGCTTGTTGTCGCCGCGGCAGTGGGTGGTTGGCGGAAGAGGAGCAATCTGCAGCGGTGGCAAGTGCGAGGGCGGTGCAAATGAGCAGCCGGGTTGCTACACCAGCACGCATTGACCACGGTGGCGCAACGCGACGGCGCGAGGAACGAGTTCTATGCGTGGCAGGCATTGGAACTCGCCGCGCAATGTCTGGCGGAGTATTAGGTTCCTACCAGTAATCATCTGCTAATTGCGTCGGTGTGGCTCAAGACCCCTGTGCCACCTGCAGTAGTAGAGGTTGGTAGAGCATCCTGCCTGAAAGAATCACCGAGGGGCCATCATGCAAAGGTCGAGGGTGAGGAAGGCTGGCGGGGACTCCAAAAAACGTTCGGGTCGGGCGAAATCTCTTTCCACATGTACACTAAATGCTCATTGCAGTCACGCCACCTTTTGGGACAGCGATCAACTGTAACGAGCACATGCGATTCTCCCTCTTCGCTCATTTCGCCAGGGCCTGGAAGGGACTATGGATGTACAGCTACGTAACATGCTTAACTTTAGTGATATTTTCCTGTGTGGCAACAATTGTTCATTGTAACCGTTGCTGGTAACCCAGTCATCCAAACATTGGTGATTCAAAACATGTGCTCATTGATAACAATCACAACTGCTTCAATTTCTGGCACATGCAACCCCTCGTTTCACCCAACTTAAAGCCGGCGGCCCAAATTGTTCATGATTTTAAAAGTTGACCAGGGGGAGTTTTTCTGGTGTGGGCTTTGGCGAGAGTTTCCGATTTCGTCTAGGTTCGTTTTTTTTCGCGAGACCCAGCCAACCCTCGGTTTTCCCCCTGGTGAGTGAATCTGTCTTCGAAAGTCCCAAATTGCAGGTGCGTGACTTTCAAAAGCTTGGACACTCAACTTCGTCAAGTTTTAAAAACTTGACCCTCGCGGCCCGCAATTTGGGGCGCGGGCTTTAAAGAACACACACACAAGGAGAGTGGCTGTAACGTTCATGTTGTGCGCATGAGTTGTGCGTTCAACGTTCCAGTCCACGCACGCAGACTTTGCATGCTGCCTCTCCCGTTATTGTCGTCCTCGACGGGGTGCATGTTCTGAGTGGATGCGACTTACCAGTTGCGCATCCACTCCGCGGAGTTCTCATAGCCGTCCATGACGGCGTTAACTCTAGCGTCGAACATTCGCTGGCGCCTCACGCTGCCCATAACGGATCACGGGATGACACGCCCGCGGTGAGGCGGGCTTGTTCCGCTAGCAAATCGTGAGGCGTGATGTTCGTCGCCCGCGCAGACCCGATCATCTCGCATGCTGCCCGAGCGAGACGCTGCTCCTCCCGCGACATCGGGTCCAGATCGCTCCACACGTACGCGGGGATAGGTTTGTCCCAGGCGCTAACCGGGTCGGCGGTGGGCGGTTCAAGCGCAAGGGGATCCTCGCCGGGGTCTGCGCACGTTGGCTGCGCATCGTCTACGGAGACAAACTCTGCAGCCGGCATCGCGCCCATAACAAAATTCAGCCGCAAGATGAGCAGGCCGACGTCGTAGATGTCGCCCTGCAACTCAAACTCGGGGTCGTCCACGAGTCCATACAAGTCTTGCACGTGCACGAGCTGCGTCTCCCACGTTGATGGGAGACAGTTCGTGCGCTACCAGCAACGTTGAATAGTCTTGGGTCCAATGTTGCGCCATGAAACCGAAACCCACTGCACCACGTCGCGCATGTTGGGACGGTAGCGCGCCATGGCGACGGGTGCACAGGCGACTCTCCAGCGGTCGATGACGTCCTCCAGCCACAAAGAACGGTATCGCGCCTTCACCATCGCGATGAGGCCTTGGTCCAAGGGCTGCGTGAAATAGGTGGTTTTGGGTGGCAAATACACCAGCTGGATATTCGAGAGGCTACTGGTCCCGAACCCAAAGCGATTCTCGAACGTCACGCGTTCGGACTTCAAGACATGGTTGCGGGCGTTGTCCAGCAGCAAGACAACGTGCCGCCCCTCCAAAAACACGGCAGCATTAAACTGCTCAATGAAGTTCGTAAAAAAGCTGCGTGGGCAGGAAGGGGGGGAGGGAAAAGGACGGCAACGGTTAGTAAGTGTATACGTATCAATAAGTGAACCACTTGCGGGACATACATGAAGAAATGGGGTCAATGACTTACCGAGAAGGTAATCTATCCCTTCTCGTTGGAACGCCAATAGTAGTAGGGCTCGAGATCCTAGTCCGGGCGGAAGTCGTGTGGCTTCTTGGCCTTGGAAATGATAAGCGGGCGCCACACAAAGGTTCCCTCCGCATTGAAGATGAAGCCGACCGGCAAGCGCTCCTTCGGGACCTTACGGCCTACGATGCGCCGGCGGCCGTAAGTCTTGCATTGTAGCACAGAGATGAACAGTGTCGTCATGTCAAAGTTGAGAACCTTATGGGCCACCACGTTGAGATACATCAAGAGCTGCGGCAGCTTCTTCTTGCAGGTCATGATAGCGTTGAGGTCCTGATCGGCCGTTTCGCCATGCTAGGTGAGACAGCGCACACTGTGGCACTTCATGGCGTGCCTCACTCATCCAACAGAGCACCAAAATGATGTGGGCTTCCCCATCTCGCGAGCCACACCGGCCATGTGATCGCGAATGGTGACGAGCGTCAGAGGGATGCCCGCCGGTCCAGAATTGTCGATTAAACGGAGCATTTCGCGCTCGAGGTCCGTATGCGCCCTTCCCCGCATGCTCGTTGCATTGTCACAGTCCTTCGATTCAGACCATCGCGGAGCAAATTTCAGAACCTTCCCAATTGTAGAACGGCCGGGACGTAGGCCAAATTGAGTCAAAACACTAGCACACAAGGTCTTCGTGATGCAAGTGGGTGTTTGTCACATGATGCGCGGAGATAGCGCGTTTTACATGGAGTGGTAATTGGTGGTGCCGGCAAGGCATGGTGGTAGAAGTTAATGACCTCTAGCGGCCCCTAGTGTGGATGTTTATAGTTGGATGTCGAGAGTAAAATGAATGCGAAGTGGATGGGATTGCTGTGGAACACGGCTTGTGCATTTTCGTCTCCGCCAGCAAGTCGTGGCTTTCTTGCACCTTTTACCTAAGTGGCACTTTGTTGCGTTAATGGGGGACCTGCCCTCGGACCCGTGTGTGGTTGACAACCACTGCGTTAAACACAGGTACGAGAACCTGCAGTTGTTGTGTGTGCGTGGGATTAGACCCTAAGAACCTGTCAAGAGGGGAATGTAACGCACGTCGTCCACCCGAACGATGAGGAGGCGCTCATTTTTTGACATAGCAAGAAACGAGTTTGACGAACCCCTGCTTACGTGGCCAACTAGCCAGGTCATCGAGATGGCGAAGGCTCATCCGAACTTCGCGACTGTCCCTTTACAACTTAGGCTGCAAATCTTCTCGTGTGACCCTATCCTTACGATAAGAAATTTGTACAGCACCCGTAGCTTACATTTATTTGGATAGTGACTGTAATATATGGGCCATTGTGCAGAGATAACGACTACAACGGGAGCTGGACTACGTGCTAGGCACGAGGTGGGAGTGATCTCTGCATTCTTTCACTTAGTCGTTTCCTTGTGTTCACGCTGCTTGCTAGTTCACGGGGAGAATTTGCAAGAGTTTCACTAGGAAAAACATGACAAAAAATGGTAGCAACAACATTTGCAACACAGACTACATCAGAGCTAGCAAGGCTGTTGGTCGACCTCTAGTGCAGCATGGTCGACCGCGATCCAGCGCAGCAGAGCTCGGACCGCTCCAGCGTTAGAGTAGCGGTTCTCCAACGTTGCAAGTCCACGGTGTGCCAACGCTGCAGCAAGTCGGCTGCACAGCATTGCACCCACAGGACAATCGTGCACGTGCATCGCAGGTGCGTACAGCTGGTTGGTGCACCGCTCCTTGTCACGTGCATAGCGCAGACGCCCAGATCGAGTCCACGCCAGCGACAGTGCCCACCAGCCACGTCGACCTCGGGATTGTCAGAATGTATTTGCTGTCTAGCCTGCAGTGGGGTACTCTATAGTGAGTATAGCCCTGTTAGGGTTTGCTATATGTACTCAACTGCCTGCTAGTGAAAACCCCTCTTCTTCCATTCCTCGTTCTTATTTTTCACATGCTAGCAGAGCGAGTATGCTCTTGGCCTGTGGGCCCACCTGCTTCCGCTGCTGTCCTGTTTGTCGTGCGCCCCGTGGCGTGCGACGTTTTTTCTTCCCACCATGCGCTCGGGGTGCATGGCGGTTTTCTGCCCGCCGCGCGCCTGCCCGCCGTGCGCCCCGAGGCGCGCGGCGCACGGCAGTTTCGTGCTCCATCCCACGCGCTCCCTTCCGTCGTTCGCCGTGGCGCCCCCGGGGACCCGCGGGCTCCCCCCGTCGTTCGTCGCGGCGCCCTCGGGGACCCACGCGCTCCCCCTCCCCATCGTCCGTCGTGGCGCCCTCGGGGACCCGCGCGTCGCCCCCCTCCCGTCGCCCGTCGAGGCGCCCCGGGGGCCCGCGCGTCGCCCCCCCTCCCGTCGCCCGTCGTGGCGCCCCGGGGGCCCGCGCGTCGCCCCCTACCGTCGCCCGTCGAGGCGCCCCAGGGACCAGCGCGCCGTTCCGCTTCCGCTCACCCGCTGCCCCATCTCCTGCCCGCGTTTCTGCCCTGCGCCACCTGCGTTTTGGGTGTGGGGGTGGCGGGTATGGGGGTGGCGGGTATGGGGGTGGCGAGTGAGTGACCGTCCCCTGCTCCTCCTCCTCCTTCGTCTCCGACTGCTGCAGCTGCCGCTGAGGGGGGTGGGTGTGTGGGAGCCGGGGGGGTGGTGCTAGGGGGGTGACATGGGAGTGGAGCTAGGGGTGCAGTAAGGGGTGTGTGAAAGGGGGGTAGGACAGTCGGGGGAGGTTGAGCGGAGGTAGTCGTCGTGTCGCCAGCAGCGCCAGTAGTCCGGAGGCTACAATCTCCGGTAGTTGCCAGTCGCCCGTGGGTCAGTTGCTCCAGCCGCTCGGTGTAGCCACGGAGCCAGTTACTCCTGTAGTCCGGGCCATTGCTTCGGTAGCCACTGAGCCAGCCGCTCCTGTGTGTCTGCAGCTTCCGCCGTCGGGTCCCATCTCCTCTCCTCTCACAGTCCCTCCTCCTCCTCACTTGCCCTTTGTGAATGCCTCTAGCTGTGCTGTACTTGTGAACCTGCTTTGTGACTGCTTGCTCTGCTGATTATACCCCACTTTGACTATGGGGGTGTGTCAGAATGTATTTGCTGTCTAGCCTGCAGTGGGGTACTCTTTAGTGAGTACAGCCCTGTTAGGGTTTGCTATATGTACTCAACTGCCTGCTAGTGAAAACCCCTCTTCTTCCATTCCTCGTTCTTATTTTCACAGGGATACCACCCCTGAGGTCGCCCTCGCAGAAACCACCCCGGCGACCTTCGCACACGTCGCCTGAATATCCCAGTCGACCGGGCAACCACGCCTGGTCGTCCAGCCCAATCGGTCGCCGGCTGCACCAAACCGGCGTCCCCAGAGTCTGCATCCTGGCGTCCAGGTCGACGTCCACACGCCCAGGACGCCAACCAGGCGCCTTGGTCGGCGTCCAGGCGCCCAGGACGCCGTCCAGACGCCCAGGTCGGGGTCTAGCTTCCCAGGAAGCCGTGCGGACGCCCAGGTCGGTGTTCAGGGGCCCGGGACGCCGACCAGACGCCCAAGTCGGCCCCAGGGCTCCGTCTAGGCGTCAAGGACGCCGCCCAGATGCCCAGGACGGCATCCTCCTACTCGGCACCCTCCAACTCGACGTCCTTGCAGCTCTAGCCAGGTCAGCTGCATCCCCCTGCACACCCGACCACGAGGTCGGCTCCGCCCAAGCGAGGACGGGGTCAAACACAACTCCCGTTGACACATTGGCCCTACACAAATGCAAAAGGGATTGGTTTTCAACGGGGACGAACAAATTTCACGGGACTAGGTGAGCATCGACTGTACCGTATGTATGAAACCCCTCGTGGCTTTGGAAGGTCCCCCCCTCCATTTGACGAGCCTGCACGAATTCCAGACGTTTTTTGTTCAGGAATACGTTTTTTTTTTTTTTTTTTTCATGAGGGCGCGGAGCTTTTGAGCAAAAAAAAAAAAAAAAAAAAAAAAAAAAAACGGTCGAACTTGAGCTGGTTACTGACTTTATGAATGTCGCAAAGTCTTGTCACGTCACCAAATTAGTATTCGAGTAAGTTAAGTAACTAGACAGCTAGTTGATGGCGTGCTTGAACGTGCATCCGAAGCGTGCTCTTCAACATGGTCATTTTTTCTCACGCTCAGCAGCTGCAAGGAATCGACGAAGCGTGGCATTTACATTACAAATTTCGAAGAAGACGCATGCCAAGAATGTTACATAAGGTGACATACTTGGTATATTTGCATACCACAATCAATCGTCAGGACTGCGTAATGAATTGTAACAAGGTTGAATGACACTGCTTTGTCTGTATAATTCTGACTGAGCTACAGTAAGGTTTTTAATTGGCTAGTGTATATGAATTGATGGGCTGTGTTTGCTACACCAAGTCCTTGTGAAGATTTGAACAAGGATGAATGAACTATGAATGAAGTGAGTACATATAGGAAACCCTAATTGGGTTGTACCCCCTATGGGATACCCCACTATAGCCTACACAATAGCATAAGCTATATATATGTTCTGACACACCCCCATAGGCAAAGTGGGGGAGAACAAGGGGTCACAAGACCAGTCACGCAAAGCACAGCAAGCTCAGGGTGGATCACAAAGTCACCACACAGTCCGAGCACAACGACAAGGCCACAAGGCCAGTTCACATGCAGGAGTGCACATATATATATAGAGCTAGACAAGCAAGAGCAGGTATATATATGTGACAGTACAAGCAAGGTCAAGAGGAGAGCAAGTGAGGCAAGACAGGTACAAGACCCAGCTGAGTGCAGAAGCGCTGATGGTCACAAGGCGCAAGTGCCTTGGTGAACACATCAGCAGTGTTGGCCTCAGAGGCCACGTACGCAAGTCGCAACTGACCACGCTGCTGCAGCTCACGAGCAAGAAAGTAACGGAGAGCAATGTGCTTCGTTCTGTGCTCCAAGCGCTGCTCTCGACACAAGGCCAGCATGGCCTTGTTATCTACGTACAGCACTGGAGGAGAACGAGGCGGCTCTCCAAGGTCAGTCAGCAGGTAGGTGAGCCAGCGAAGCTCCTGTGCAGCCATGGCCCCGGAGTAGATCTCAGCCTCACAACTGGAGCCGAGAACAGAGGACGAGCGAGTAGCCCGCCACGAGACAGAGCCAGAACCAAGACTGAAGGTGTAACCCTGCGACGACCGCTGCGTAGCCTGGTCGTCAGCCCAAGAAGCGTCCGCGTGCCCAGTGAGGACCACTGGACTCCGCCCTCCAAGCACTAGCCCCATGCCCGACGTACTGCACAAGTAGCGCAACACCCTCTTCGCTGCAGCCATGTGCTCTGGTCGGTGTCTCCCAGGAGCAACATAGCGTGCAAGAATGCTAAGAGGGTATGCAAGGTCAGGTCGTGTGCAGGTCATCAGGTACATGAGGCAGCCAACAAGCTCTGGGTACGGGCCACTCGACTCTACGGACTCATCCGAAGGCAGAGCTGAGAGCGAGTGGCGAGTAGACAGAGGAGTGGCCTGAGGCGAGGAGTACGTGAAGCCGAAGCGCTGAAGGACCTGCTGCACCATGTGTGA